CATTGGTGCTGAGACATTTATATTGAGCTTTGACTGAGAGGTTGTCAACAACCACATCACTTTCTTCACATCTGCCTGATGTTTGGCAGTTACTACTGCTTCAACATACACTACCTGGTAAAACTACAGTCCACACCTGAGTTCCTCCAAAGGGGAAAAATTGAATTATTTATCATTATTAGAATTACAAATAGTTCATAGCATACCCTGCATGCAGTAATACTGAGTAAACTCTCTCTCTCTTTTCCTTTCTTTCTTTTTTAAAGGTGTTTATTTTCAATAAATCCTGGAAGAAGAGTAAAAAAGTGTTATTGGTCAATCCCAGAGTCTTGACACTGATCTCAGACCTTGCCAACCATGAGTGGACCTACCAGTGATGTTGAGGGATGATGTGATAAAAGGTCCGTTTGATATGATCTACACTGCCGCTATTTTGTGGTTAAGGGTGTGTACCTATTAAATCTGTCCACTCATTTTGCTCACTGCAATCATTGTAAAAAGAAACAAAACTAATTTTGTTCTAACTCTCTCTCTCTTTCTCTCTCTCTCTCTCTCTAATGAAGGAGTTTCTTCTCATCTACAGAGGCACCAAAGTTGAGTGTAAAAAGAAGAAAATAATCACTGGCTTTTTCAAACTGGTCTTATTTTGACTATTTAACTGAAGTATCAGGTCCAATACCAATATCAGCATCTGGATTTATGCCTCCCAGATTTTTAACCTAATCCATTAAAGTACTGTATATTTACTCACTTCTTTACTATCAAATCAAAGTGTAACGAGTTATACCATCTAGTGATTAAAATGCATAAAACATAAGAGTTAAAGAGAGGTTTATCTAAAAAGGATAAATGACAGAAACTTGAGAATGCTACTTAAATCTGTAGTGGTTAAAAGTTCTACTGTACGTACAAAGTTCCACTGTACATGCAGACACAGGGTTGAGAGATTTAACAAAATCTAAAATGTTAATATTTTACTTGAAGGATTAGAAACAACATTAGACTGAAGAATAATTTGTTGTTGCCCATAATCTATATATTGATGTATAATATCACCATGGAACTACTTTGTTTTTCTTTGTGCAGCATCATCTTTTACAATAATGCTCTCTGTTTATCATCTCACCACCCAACTCTTTGTAACAACAGACTGATTTGAACTCATTACTTAACCCCCATCACTCCCTGATGGAGGTGAACAACAACAAAAGATATATTTTTAAAAGGGTTTTTTTTTACTCTAAAAAACAACATTTTACTAAAAAGACATCATCCTACACAAAGAGGGTTCAGATTGTATGTGACAAATACATTATTTCAGCAACTTTTTATAGGTGGTTTTGCTGTGTAAGCATTTTCCTTCCTGTCGTGATGTCAGTAAAAATCCTCAGCAGAGTTCTGAGACTGCAGATAAACGTCTTCATCTTTCTCACTGACACAGTCATTACTTTAACCCTAGCCTTAAATGTGAAAATGTGCTTTTCATGCTGTTAATTTTTCAACTTTCATACTCATCCTTTAAAATTATGTAAACGTCTACATGATTTTCTATGTGCAAAGGTGTCAAATGTATGTATTGTAATATATTTGTCATTTGCTCTGTTGTTTTTTCCTTTTTTTTTAAACTTGATGGGTAGGATTAGTCATAAGGGGTTAATCACTAAGCCACCATTGCCCCAAGAAAGGATAACAAGGATGTTCCAATAGTTCCAATCACTGATACTGTGAGAAATCATTGATGCATGACCAGCAATATTGACAAAGGATAAGATAATTCCTCGTGCAGGAACTAATAGCAAAGAGCAATTTTTGAATTTTCTATTTGTGTAAAACCTAAGAGAACTACACTGTTTTTAATAGTATAATAAGAATTACCAGTGTGTGAGGCTGTTGCAGAATAATATATAAAATTGGTATTTGGGTATAGTTGGACCAAACAGGTCGGGATGAATGCTGAATTTTTCAGTGTTTTTGGGTATATTTGGACCAAACAGTTCGGGAGAACATGGTTTTTATGAATAAATCTGTCTTACACTAAGTCATTCAAATCTTTAAATCATTATCTTTATGTGTGGAAATTTGCACGGCAGCTCCACCCATGTCAACTAAAGCCCATAGCTAGTTAACAAAGCTATTTAAATTACCTATCAGCACTTATCGGTTAACTACGATATATCCAGCTAGTTACAATCTATCAGCCTGTACCACAGTTGGTCAGTACTTCTGCTGTTGTTCATACATCAGTAGAAACTCCTACAGTCATAAATTCAATGTTTTATTAATGCAGAGGAAGTGGGGTGCGCAGTGCCATTGCCAGGGGACATGGATGTAATGAATGAATAAAATGTAACACAGCACATTGCCCAATGCTGCAAAGGTTAAACAAGAGACTGGCAAAAAATTGATTGGTTGAAGGCAATGCTAAATGAATATCTAATAATATTGCAAAAGAGACGTATTTGACGGAACCCCCATGTAAACACAAAACAGAGGATGTAGCATTGGTGTGTGTCCTGTTTTGTTTTGTTTTGTTTTGTGGGGAGCGTGAAATCTTACTAACTTTCTACTTGAAAAATGCAAGCATTTGAACTTGATAAATCTTTTTAACATGTTTTTGACCAAACCTGGCTGCTTCTAGTCAAATCAAAGCTGCAGACAGAACATAGAGATTAGAACAATAGGGGGAGAAAATATGAGTCAGCAGCCACTTAAGCACCAACTAACAAATATAAAGGCCTTCAATTCTTTGGAATTAACAGAGGTGAAACACAGGAATACAACCAGAGCCACCATAACAGGGGAGCAAATAGTCTATAACTATACAATCAATCATGCGACAATTAGGTTCAATGAACCAAATTAAACTTTCATATTGCCGGCAGTAATTTTATTTCAATTATGCAGTGTGTAATGTACAATTGTAGCACTGCTACAACTAAATATATAATTCACTATAGCAACTAAATGTTTAAACATTAATTTAGGATTCATTTTCTGGTTACATTTGTAAAAAAAAAAAAAATTAAATAATTTCCGAACATCAGGAAACAACTTAAATGACCACAGCTGCAATATTGACTGTAGGAGAATAATATTTAAAAAAAGTAATTTCAGCTCTACAATGAGAGGTTAATGAGTTTTTTGTTTAATGTCCATGACTTTGAACCTTTAGAGAGTATTGTAGTGAAAACAGCCAATAACTAATAACTTTTTCTGCCGGGCCAGTACCTTTCACTACGAGTAAGGGTAGCTGTTCTCTTTGCTGCTTGTAACTACGGTAACTGGCTTCAAACTGACGTAACACGGGCATTGTTTCTCCCGTGTAAGGTTTTAGCTTAACACTTGCGACATCTAGTGGCTGTTCTGGGAACATCGTCTGAAATACTTGTTCAGAAACAATAGTCACAGCAGCCCCCGTGTCAATTTCTATGTCAAGGTCTTTGCCATCCACTATAAAGTCCGTTTTAAAGGGTTGTTTAAAGTCTTCACTTGTTTGAGTAAACATTGGCAATTCATTATATTATTCTACCTCCACATGCTGTGTGTTTCTTTCAGATTGTTCGGTACTCAATTTGTTTGAGTTACTTTTCTTCTGAAACTTGTTTCCGGAGCTGTTGTGCGTCCCTCTCAACAGTCTCAATGTTAAAAGCGTTCTCGAATGCTCGAGCAAAAGTCAGGTTCGCTTCCGACAGCAATCGCCGCTGGCATGCCTCATTCCGTAATCCACATACAAAACGATCCCGTAGTGCCTCGTCCAACTTTGCTCTAACCTGACAGTGAACTGCACACTGATTTAGCTCCGCTGCATAGATGGTTACGCTTTCATCATGCTTTTGGCTACATAACAGTGGTTAAAACTGAATTTTTCCGCAATGAGTTACGGCTTCGGTTTGAAATGAGCGGTCGATGCGTCCACAATGTCTTTGAAAGTCCTATCCTTCTGCTTAGTTGGTTGAACAAATTTTCTTAATAGTCCATAAGTTGTTGATCCCATTACGCTTAGGAATATGGCTACTTGGTTGTCCGCTGCAATGTCGTTGTTCCAATCGTTCCACATATACCGACCACGACTTCAGCTTCGGGACAAATTCCCCTATCGTCCATATTAAAGCCATATCTTCTAACTTTTATCCTCGTCGCCAATTTTTCTGTGGTGTATTACACTAAATAACACACAGTAGACAGACAGTACTCTGCACGGTTGCTGCACATTCGTTGTGGGCAGATGTTTCTGCCAAACATGACGTCTTGTCTGATGGCCAAAAACCTCGATTTTGGTCTCATCAGACCAAAGAATCTTCTTCCACTTGACCATGGAGTCTTCCACGTGCTTTTTGGCAAACTGTAGTCGAGATCTAATATGACTTTTCTTCAACAGTGGCTTTCTCATTGCCACTCTCCCATAAAGCTTTGACCGGTGAAGAACCCGGGCAGCAGTTGCTA